TAAGAGAAAACTACACCCAGACTAGAATACTCAATATCTCTAAGAAAGTCCGTCTTGTTAATATTTTAGACTAAAGGTCGACCTGGAGACTAATATTTTTCAGAACCTCTGTATGGCTAATTGGTACATCAATCTTTTTATTTCCATTTGGCGAATTTCGACCATCGCTCAACAGTGACCAATAATACAATTTGAATACATTTCATTTTGCATTTTTATCAGTAATTATTGTGAATCCGATCTAGGTAGGGACTAGGACTATCGTTACCTACAAATATACTTTTGATTATTATTAAAAAAAAAAGACTAAGACAGTTATAAAAAAAACTAGCACAATTATCCTGTAGAACATAACATTGAAATCATCTATAAAGACTATAGCTATCTTAACATAGCAAAAAATTGCTCCACATTTTAAAACAACAAAACATTACATATACATAATCTTTAAAACGTACTCACTAACAACATTCCATCCATATAAATGGAGCTGAAAAGTTCACAGAAGCCGTAAATTGTAATAAAATGCCGAGAGCTTCACAAATGGCCTTAGTGCATGTAGTAGAGAGGAGGCGGCCCGCGACGCCAAACTGAGCATGAAATAAACGATTATAGCGACAGTTGACGTATACGATATAGTGTGAGAACGATAAATGGTAGAGACACGTTCCTAGTTTTTTTTAAGGGATTTTATGAACCGGGAACTAAGACCTTAGACCTTACTCCTGAGATACCTTAGGTCACGTTTTATTTTAATTTGAATGAAAACTGCACTGTCACTTTTTATATATGAAAAATGATAATATGAAGTGAAATGAAATGAAATGAGATGAGATGAGACGATATGGGATGAAATATTATTATAATCTCAGTAAAATGGTGGTCACTTACTAAGACTTTTTTAGTGGACTTTTTGGAGGATCCCGAGAAGTTAGGTTCAGCGGCTTTGTTTCATTTTCCCACATTTGTGCACTTTTGTTTTTAACAATTGTTTACTAAAAAGTCAATAAACCTCAGTTATTACACATTTAAACCTAAAGAAACACTAAATAGACAAAATAAATCAAATCACAAAACTTCAAACCTCGCGTTCCCGCCAAAAAGTCCTCCTAGTTCTCCACTTCTTTTTTAAGATTACCTTCGGTTATTAACCTTAAAACAAGTAAGTTTTGTGTCAATTTGGTTAATAACGTAAATAGCACTGGAGAAGGGACATATGCGATCTCCGAATATTAAGCTGATGTACATAGTATGATCGCTAACTACGATTTACCGGTAGTGGGGTTTCAAGGATAGAACTGTTGTTATACATGTAATGCAATTGAGATTTCGACTTCATGTCTCTAAGTGGGTGCGACAACCATGTGATTTGATGGGTTCTTATTTTATGGAAATATGGCACCTGGCAATGGATAAGCTCGGAAAATATGGAAAGACCGGAATATCACCAAGACCACCAAAGTCCGATTGGTAAGGGCTCTGGTGTTCCCCATCTTTTTATATGGGGTTGAGACCTGGACTGTCAAAGAAAGAGAAAGAAGAAGGATCTATGTATTAGAAATGTGGTGCTGGAGAAGGATGCTTTATATACCTATCTTGGACTGAGCATCGCACCAACGCACCAATATTCTAGAGATGTGAGGAAGGGTTCGCCACATGTAGTATAAATTGCGCTGAGCTCTAAGGCAACTTTTTTAAGTAGGAATGTATATATTTTTTATAACTCAAACAAATATGAAAGACACAGACAGCTGTTTCAGGCATCTCTCCGAAAAACGTTCTCTTTTACTTTTGGAATCTATCTTTCAGTTTTTTACATAATTTTTCCTAAAGGTTTTTATTGTTCACTTGTATAATATGTACAATAAAATTACGCATCAAATAATTTTATATTAGACATTAATTTTATTATTGATGAAGTATTTTGTTGTTAATCTATTTATTATAAAATCTTGTCAATACCCTGAACAAGAAAGGAAACATGTCAAAAGAATTAGTCCATTTCGCTATGACATCAATTTTGAAATAAGCAGTCTTGGAGCCCTATTTTCGACGAAGCAAATAGTTTTCTTCACGCGTCATATTTGTTCATCTTAAGTACCAAGCCTACGTAGTGATGTCAAACGACGACTAGTGTTAAATGTCAGACACAAATTATTGTCCGACCACTAATGGAATCTATTGTCGAACGACAAATGGGACGAGACTGTGCTGGAGCTCTTGACACTCTATTATCGATGTCATTATGTTCGTCTATTGGAAATTGATCGGTTATTATCACTATTCTTTCGGTTTCTTTTTTGATAACTGATTATTGATCGCAGCCTCTTCATCTATAGGAAACTACATTGTTTTATAATGTAATTTTATTTAATATTTAACTTATCCCTACCACGTTTTGTGAATCTTCGTAACATTCTCTTAATGGGGGAACTCTTACCCTGTAGAATTAGGCAGAATGGTAGTATACACTCGTTTAACCTTACGAACTAAACGAATACTTCCTGCTACTAAGAGTCTCTCACCATGTAATGAAATCTCTTAAAAACTAATTCTACATTAAAATATTTGAGAAAAGTTCTTTTTTTTTCAGCGAGTGCGCCCTATTCGATATCTCCATGTAACCTATAATAGATAGATCACAGTATCTTCTCAGTCTACACGAATATATTATGGCCAACCGATAACATAACCAATTTCCAAAAGAAAATTACTTTCCTTTGTTACATACGATGCCGTATTGATGACGGAAAGTTTCCGAATACGAAATGGCGAGTTCGAAGTTAGCGGAAAATATTCACTATACGTCTTACGTGAACTTTATCTCCACGAAATAAGGAATATTTTTGAAGTAAATGTCAATATTTGTTTGCCAAAGTTACGTATCACGTTCAAGAGGTGTCAGCGCTAACGTTGCTCTGTTTACTTAAGTTAACTTAGCCAAAGTTTGGACACCTTACCCGACGAACTTTAGGGTTTACTCGGAAACAACTAACTTCATTGGTATGCCTTATTTGGAGAATCGTCTGAGCGTAAACTTGAGTGGATTTTATACTGATTAGAAGTAGGAGACTTTACTGACTGTTCTGTTATAAATTTTAAACTATCGATTTCATAAGGCTACTCTGAAGAAGTAGTTCTAGTTTAGTTTAAAAAAAGTTCCTTAGCTAAATAGTTAAACTAACATTTTCTTTTCGCGTTCAACGTTAGTAAGTACGTACATTTATATGTCAAAAGTTAGGCAAATCACTTCACGGTCCACTTAGTGTTCGGTGGTTAGAAGAGCACATGCACATTGGGAAGTCGTGGCTTAAAGAACAAAACTTGGTGATAAGGCCCTCTTGTCGTGGCCGCCGGAAATTACATACCCGATCCTGTGGACCGAATGGTAAACAGTCGACGTCACCCTAAACACGTCATTACGGATACTCCCGATCCATTAACGGTGCTTTTAGGTACCTCAATCACCGGTCACGACGAAGGGCTCGACGAGTGAATTAACCCATAGACAGCTCACTGAGTTTCTAGTCGGATCTTCTCAGTGGGTGTCGTTTCCGATCCGGTGGTAGATTTTGCGAAGCACTGCTCTTGCTAGGGCCAGTGTTAGCAACACTTTCGGTTTGAGCCACGTAAGCTCACCTACACGTTAGGATAAAGGGGAGTAGCTTCTCAAAGCTATCGGCATAGGTAGGAGAAAAAAGAAAAAAAATGGTGATTGGGCGTACCGTGTGTACCTAGCGCTAAGTTCTACCATATCTATAACTACCGATAGCCGCATATGGACAGCCATTATCCATAAATAAAGTCTTTGATCTCATGTCTTTGTGCTTTTCACGTTGTTAAGACGCCAATCAATTCCAATATGCAGTCATCTGCTCTTATAAATTTCAAGAGGGTAACTAAAATATATTTATCTTCAATCATATTGTTGAGGACTTTAAGGTTGATATTGGATGAAAAGTATTTTCAACTAGCTAATCCCGGCTACGCTTTGCTGTGGCTTCGTTGGATATTACTACATCCCTATTTGAATTGGATTTTATTCGCTGTTAGATTAGTTTTAAATTGTTTGTACGGAAGCCAGATTCGGTTCCTAAAATCTAAATCACTTCTTATACAGTCTATCTGTCAGTGGAAGTCCCATCAAAATCGGTCCAGCCGCTTCGGAGGACTGAAACAAACCGACAGACAGACAGGAGTTTTGTTATAAGTACAATATACTCGTGTATGTACTTTCGTATTACATTCATTAATAAGCTGTTATTTTGACATTGCCATGTTAAAGTAATAAGATAAAGTCCTCCTTTTTGCCCGATTTTTTTATTTAACTTCGGACCCGATCGCTACCAAACTTCACACGATCACGCTCTAAACTAACCTGAAGTTATCTTGACAACTTTAATCGGTCCAGTCGTTTTGGACTCTATGCGGAATATTGAACACATCAGATTTTTAATATTTATCTGTATAAACTTTTACCTGCCCATTGAAATTTTTAGGCATTTAGGTACATTATCACCTTTTGTCATGATTGTTTTAAATGTTTGTTTATAAAATTAATAATATGTGATAATAATAATTGAATTGATTTTATGTGTAATTTATAAAACAATCTCGTTATTTATAAATATTTCAAGTTACCAGTAGGGTATAAGATAAGAGAATGTCACTAGAAACATAGTGCTGAAAATGACTGAAAATATTGCAAGCGAGAAACAAATACGGCTTATATTAGCGTGCAAATGAGAGATAAACAAATTCATCGTGTATCAGCCCAATATGAAGAAAATTGGCTCTAACAACATGAATTATTTCAAAATAAAATTTTACATGCATTGAGTGAGATGGATAAAACAATGATATAGCTACTTTATCATTGTCTTATCGCTGATTTCACTCTAGCGTACTGTTAGAGTTCAATTTCCTTTGCCGGCTACTTGGTGTTTAAGAAATAGAATCGTCACAGCCATAATAATTGCACACGCAAATATATTCAACAGACACGTCTTGCCAGACGGTAAGCTAGTGCTGGGTGCTCGAAGATCGCTTCTGGAAGCTGGTAGTGGAGCAAGCGGTGCTGTTCTCCGATGCAAGGCGACCAATAAAGCTGGGACCGTTCTCTCTCGACCAGTAATACTACAACCAGGTCCGTATCGAATCCCTAATCTTATACTTTTAAACGAGCAATTCTTGTATATATATTCTGAATCTGGGAAACGGCTCCAAGATTTTCATAAAATTTAGTGTACAGAGAATTTCGGGGGCGATAAATCGATCTAGCTACGATTTATTTTCAGAAAATGTTGTTTTATTCGTGTTTTCAATAATCAACTCTTCCCGACATCTATTGGCGAATAATAATACTATTTTTCTTAATTGAGAGCAACTAACTGCTTTAAAGACACCACAAGATGACGCTATAAAAAAAAATCCGAACAAAGCTCGGTCATCATCTAGTTAATTTAAATTCATAGGTTTCAAGCATGTGCTGTGAGAGTCGAAGGATGATAAGCTATTCCTATGCTGTCAACTTTCCATAGAAACTCGGTAGTTAGACAAATAAATACATAACTAAAGATACCATTAATGTGCTTATGTTAATAGTTTTTATAAGAACTTTTACATATATATTTTTTGTTGCTCTTTCTGTCTGTCACTGCAATTTTTCATTCTTCTTTTTTCCTTTTCAACACATCTTTACCAGTTTCTTGAGTGATGTGGTGGAGAACTTTTTAGTTGCCACAGTAATAATGCACGCGGAAATTGCCTTTTATAGAAACAAAATACTGTTTTTAGGTGTTTCAATACAATATATAATTTTTATTCAATATAACGCACCCTTTTAGAAAGTTTGATTCAAATAAATAGGTAATTGTGTGGTTTAGGAGAAAAGCCACGAGAAATCTCTTGTTTCTTGGATAACGACCACACGACCGTACTCTGTTGTAACATAACGCCTTTTAGCTCTAATTGTATCTTCGGAGCCGTACCCTAATAATCTCTGCATGAACGTAAAACAACCTACTCAGCCGCACAAGGATTTATTTCATATTAATCATTTGAACCAACATTACACGAAATTTATAATGAAGGCATAATTACTGTTACGATATTGTTTTTGTTGCGGGCTTTGAACTTCGTCCCGCACCGGCATCAATTACGTAGAAGCTATACAATAAAAAAAAATTAAAAAAAACTCGTGAACAACGGACTTCTATATTAAACAAATGTAGGAGGAGAGAGAAAAACAAATTACAACTTCAAGTCGAGTCGGACCAATTAACTTTCCGTTACACGGCCATGGGAATATGAAATAAAATGAAAAACAGCCGACGGCCGTCCGAGTTTTACACGGAAAAACTTTTAATTAATGGATTAAAAATGACATTACAGTGAGTTCGCAACAAGGTAACTTTTCTTTTGTTCGCTGCGTACCTTCCAAGAATAAATTCTGGCGGCGGTAATATACCGATTAGGTAAATAGCTAAAATGTTGGAAAGATGCTCCTCTATTCTTCGAAAATGTTTGTTGAAACTTTGTTTGTTTGTTTGCGTTTCGGTTTGAAGGGTGGGGCAGCTGTTGTAACTATATTGAGACCTTAGAACTTATATCTCAAGGTGGGTGGCGAATTTACGTTGTAGATGTCTATGGGCTAAAGTAACCACTTAACACCAGGTGGGCTGTGAGCTCGTCCACCCATTAAAGCAATAAAAAAAAATGTTTTTGAAACTTAACTTACTATTACTACTACTTAAATACTATTTTATTGACTTCAATGGAATATAGAAAACATACATGCTAAAATGGGAATGCTAGAAGGAGTTTTCACATTGCTATAATGCTAAATTTAATACTTGAAATGATTCGTCAAGCTTCCATTAAAAATTTCCAAGTCATTTAAGTTCCTGATAAATTCACGAGGGACTGTTAATTAATATAATATATTACTCGTAATTTCTCAGAGTAGATGAGTAAATGAATGAACTCGTGAAGTTGCTAGCTTTGAAGACTTATTTATTTATTTATAACTTCTTATACTAGAAAGTATAAAGGCGGACTTAATGCCATAGGCATTCTCTAACAGTCTACCTTAGGGGAGTGCAGAGATGAAGCTTGGTAGGTGTAGTGTGAACGTGATATTACTTAAACATATGTGTATATATAACATACATAATATTTATAGATACAAATACTCGTACTTAAATAAATACATATACATAAATATATAGATATACATAAATATATACCTATAAAACATATACATATAAACAAATATGTTCAATTAGATGACTTACATGTTTAGCATAATACCTGTGCTGAACAATTCTTGTACGTGTCAAAATTGAGAAACGTTTTTTTTTATTTTTTTTTTATTGCCTTTGTAGGCAGACGGGCATACGGCCCACCTGATGGTGAGTGGTTACCGTCGCCCATGGACTTCAGCAATGCCAGGGGCAGAGCCAAGCCGCTGCCTACCGCTTAATACTCTCCATAAGCCTCGTTTGAAGAAGGACATGTCATGTTTGTCAACATTATGAGATACACTATTCGTTGAAGGCTACCTTTCGGATTCCGAAACTAGCCCTTGACTTACAGATTTTATCATATTTCAATATTTACTGTTACAATGGAGCTCGCTACAAAGAGAAAATTGAAAGGCAACAAATGGGAGCAGTGGCTTATTCTCATTCAAATGAGCTCCGTAGAAAGCGTTCGACACTTTGATGTTGAAATATTTATTTACCTTATTTCTGTGAGTTTTTCATTTCGACAATGAACGACTGAAATATTGTAATGAGAATAGGGCATCGTTAAATTAACATAATAGCAAATTCGCAAGTAACAAACGGTCTGTAACTTTTTCCATTAAGTCTGTGGTACTAGGTCTTCTTTATGGTAATGAGGTAAATCAAATATTTTTAAGTGGTGAATGATTTCTTTGTAAGATGAAAGGTAGATTTTTTTAATTTCAGTAATAAAAAAACTACTAGACGATGACCGGTTTTTTTTTTATAACGCCATCTTGTTGTGTCTTTAAAGCGGTTAGTTGCCCTCAATTAAGAAAAAATAGTATTATTATTCGCCAATAGATGTCGGGAAGAGTTGATTAATGAAAACACGTATTAAACAACATTTTCTGAAAAGAAATCGTAGCTAGATCGATTTATCGCCGCCGAAATCCCCTGTATACTAAATTTTATGAAAATCGTATGAGCCGTTTCCGAGATTCAGATTATATATACCTTATATATACATATATACCCTTTATACTATATTTAAAGGTATAAAATAAGATAAAAGAGTATTCGTATTCGAATAAAAGTACCTAAAATAAATATAATTGAAATCGATGATCATAAATAAAGGAATTATTCGCTTTATGCTTTTAATATTTTGCTTGTGTAGATGATGCGTAAATTTTGAATTTACTGTATAAAATTTTAACCTTCAAAAACACTAGCTACAGATTTGAAACCGTGTTACGAAATATTTGCATTAAAATTTGTGTTAGTTGAAGCCTCAGAAGAAGCAAAATTTTTGCGTTTGTATTGCGTATGCATTAACTTTTAAATTGAATAGAGTATATAATTGATTTATTCAAAGAGGAAAACATTGCGTTCATTTATTGACTTGAAAAAATTACGATATTTATTAACATTGACCATAATTGACCAGTGGAAGATGGCGTGTTAACTCATACTGCTCGGCAACTGACTCCCGCCAAAGTTGGCGGTTCGGTTCTTATGAGATGTGAAGTATCACCGCAGGTCGGTCTCGTGGAGGTCACGTGGCTTCAAGACGGACTTCCTCTGTCCTCAGGGTATTTAACCAGTGGTAAGTGAATAACCCAAATAGTACTTTAGCTTTAAGTGTCACGTTACGGTGTTTTTGGGCGTGCATAAAAAAGTTTCTATTTCACGTATTGGTATCAATCGTGTTAAAGGTAAAAGAGCACACCAAGATGATAGATTTTCTTTTATTATACAAAGTTTAAGGTTGTCAGTTAAATAATTTAGAAACTTACAGTATTTTTTCTATTTCTACGAGAAAATATGTCAATAACAAAATGAATGTAAGATATACAATAAATGTAAACCTTCAGGAGTGATTATGCTCAAATTTCGAGTAAAAAAAATTAAGACCATGTTATATTAGTACTTAATATCCTAGATATAATGCAAAATATGAAAGACTTAGAAACTAGAATTCCATAAGTATGGCTACGGAAACATACAAACTAGAATTCCTTACGTATGGCTATGGAAACATATACAAAACTAACACAATTATTATCTGGGCCTTAAATGCTAAATAAAGTGACTTCAATCGAGAATAAAAGTCCATGGGACAGTAGTTAGGCCTACTAGACTAGACTAATACGATGATCGATGAAGATATTACTTTTGATGTTCTTCTGCTTTTATAGTTAAAGTAATTGTTTTGATTAAATATCAATTTACATAAATGAGAATCCATTTTTAGATTCGCGATGGACAGCCGGAGCCGGTGGACTCTTACTCGGCACAGATTTGACTCAAGCTGATATACAAGCAGAATACTCCTGTCTGGCCGTAGATACGTTAAGTCCGGCGTTAAAACTCACTACTGATGGTAATTTATTGAACCCATTACAGTTTTTTTTATTGCTTAGATAGGGTGGACGAGCTCACAGCCTACCTAGTGTTAAGTGGTTACTGGAGCCCATAGACACCTACAACGTAAATGCGTAAGAATATAATTTATTAAGAAATGCTAAGGGATAAGACGTCCAGTGCATTCGTGTTGAGCGATGTACCGGTGTTCTAATCCCGCAGGCGGGTACCAATTTTTCTAATGAAATACGTACTTAGCAAATGTTCACGATTGACTTCCACGGTGAAGGAATAACATTGTGTAATAAAAATCAAACCCGCAAAATTATAATTTGCGTAATTACTGGTGGTACGACTTCTTGTGATTCCGCACGGGTAGGTACCACCGCCCTGCTTATTTCTGCCGTGAGGCAGTGACGCGTTTCGGTTTGAAGGGTGGGGCAACCGTTGTAACTATACTGAGACCGGAGGAACTCATAGCTCAAGGTGGGTGGCGCATTTACGTTGTAGATGTCTATGGGCTCCGGTAACCACTTAACACTAGGTGGGCTGTAAGCTCGTTCACCAAACTATGCAAAAAAAAATACGTTCAAAGAAAACCTTTCAGTTTTTGTTTGAATTTTTCTTTTGAATTCGCTAAAAGTTTTCGTTAACAATTAATTTCTTATTATCCAATATTCAGATAGCTGCTGGCTCGAGAATATAGAACTAAGCTCCGTAGAGGCTCAGACTGGAGATACTGTGATTCTTCCTTGTATACTAAGGCATGTCAGTGATGATTCTGTTACGTGAGTATTTTAAATTATCAAATGCTAAGATATTTTGATATAGACAATTATTTATAGACATATGTTTAGTAATAATACGTGAGTGGTTAGAAAATGACTAACACGTATATAAAGGCTTTTGCGTTGATCAAATGTAATTAAAGATAAATCCGATAAATAATTAACAAGACGCAAGATCTTCCTTTTATGTTTACTCCAAAACTAGCGGATCAAAATTGCTCGGTATACCGACGATGCGAATGTTGTTGTTCAGAAGTCGTATATATGTAAGCTTATCTTGAAAATGTTAGCGAGGTTCAGGCATCTGCCAAATATCTTGTGTTCTATGATGGCTACCACCACATACATATGTCTGGCAATTAAGGTTCTAGATAGGTATCGATAGAAAAGCTAATATCTTATCAAGGCCTACTTACGATACACTTTTAGATACTGTTAGAAAAGAAGAATTACATCATACATTTTTAATCCTTAAGTTGGCAGCGACAGGACTCGAGTGGGACTTGGTCATCAGCAAATGATGGTTCAGCACGTGGAGGAGCTCTTATATTCCCAGCAGTGAGACCGGACCATGCAGCAAAATATTCTTGTTCTTACGGCTCGGGATCTTCGCAAAGACTGCTCATTCGATTAATAGTTTACGAGCCTTTAATTTTGACTGTCGCCCCAAATCCGTTGGTAAGTGATTGAATGACCCCTTTCTTCTGTTTTAATACCATTATTAAGCTTAAAAATTTAGGTGTATGGTGTAGAATAGCATGATTCCATTTCTTTCCGTGGGCGTCGTAATAGAAACGAAATAATTCCCCGAAGAATGGACAGCAGTATTCTCTGATCATAATATTAGAGTATTGGGATCGTGAACAGGCAAAAAAAAAAACTATTACTACTTACTATTTTATTAATAAAAAAGCCAAATATTACCCAACAAAACATTATGAACCTTTAAATTGGACCATACCTCTATAGAATCAATCTATACTAATATTATAAAGAGGAAAGATTTATTTGTTTGTTTCTATTGAGTAGGTTCCGAAATTACTGAACCGATTTGAAAATTTTTTTCACTGTTTGGAAGCTACACTATTCCCGAGTGACATAGGCTATAATCTTTTTTGCAAAAAATTAGGGATCCTTATTAAAGCTCCAATAATGTAACCCAAGGGGTAAAAAAATTACCTAAAATATTCTTTACACCGCTTGCCCTGCGAAAACTATTGATGATAGAATAAAATAATGTATTACGACTTTGTAGAACACATTATTATTTACAAAAAATGTTGCAACAGCATATGTCTAACTATTGTAGTTATGCCGTAATGAGTGTTCTCTTATTTTTTTAAATAAAACAACGTCGTTGAAATTTTTGTTAAAGAACCGAGCGGAGCCGGAGCGGGCCGCTAGTCATTAATAAGAACTATGAAAACCTATAACCATTTGTAATCTTACAAATACACACTAGATAGATACTTTTCGAGTGCTTTAAAACGATGACCACGTTTTCAGACATTAGGGACTGGTGGTACTGGGCAATTTAACTGTTCGGTTCGCGGTGGACGTGGTAATGGGATTACATTGAGCTGGCAACACGAAGGGCGCCCCCTTCACGCCCCACAAGCACGCCTGTCTGTCGGACCAGTACGTTCTCATCACGCTGGTACATATCAATGCACCGCTCACGACCACACTGACACGGCTGTTGCTGGCGCTGAACTTGTCCTTGCTGGTAAAGCTATAATTGTATTACTTGGTATAGAAGCAAAATTTTTAATAATAATTATTATATTACATTAGCTGACCCGGCAGACTTCGTAGTGCCTTAATCGATAAATAAAAGACCTAAACTTTTGTATAAAATAAACTTAAAACAAACAAAAGGAATCCGTCCGACGGAGGACACATCAAAGGAAAAAAACAAAATTGTTATTTTTATTTAATTCCATGCATTTTCATATTTATCTACCTTTTTAACCTTCTCTGGAATTCCACAAATAATTCAAAACCAAAATTAGCCAAATCGGTCCAGCCGTTCTCTGAGTTTTAGCGAGACTAACGAACAGCAATTCGTTTTTATATATGAGTCGTCTATTATCAAAGATGGCAATCTGTGCATTTGGACAAACAAAAATTATTGATATGTCAATACCGATTGATTTGAATATAATCGTCTCCTTCAAAGAATACGGTTCAAAACCTGCATTAAATAAAGGTTAATACTTAACCTGTTATTTATCTAAGATGTCGTTCAGAAGAGTTTTGTGACTGCCAATGGAATACAAAGTCAATAATTCGTTTTTCTGATTTACCAATAATTGTTCAAAAGTCACATTGCCGGATTTGATAATAGTCGACTCATATAGAGATTATATTGTGTATTAATTGTATGTATATTTACGGATATATGTATGTGTGTGTGTGTAATAGTGTGTATGTCTATGTAAATCTATATATTTCACTGGATTGGTACACCGCGCGTAATTCGTTTCCAAATGATTCTTGTCCATCTGATGGTTGTCTGGAAGAGATCGTTCGTAGCGATAAAACCGCCAATTGTACTTTTTTTGTATTTAATGTATCGCATTGTTTAAATATTTTTGGTGTACAATCAAGAATGCTCTCTCTCTCTATAATTTAATCATTCAAAAAACGTCTAAATTTCCGTCTGATTCGGTACATTTTGGTAGGAGAATATTGGCGGAGAATTCGAATATATTATCTTGTTGAAATTATTGATCTAGTAATTAATTAAAAACACAGGTATGCGGTACGGGCCTCCTTAAGTTACTGCTATAGCTTCTATAAATATTTTTCATAATAGTAGTATCCTCAACTATTTTCCTAACTGCCTAAATCTTAACTTCTTAGTATTGGCTTTTACGCCTAAGTTCCGCAATTGCTCATCTAAGTTAGTATTTTAAGGTAGATGGAAAGCAATTTCATATTGTTGCCTTAAAAATCTAAGAGAATCAAATCAAATCAAAAAAAAATTATTCAACATAAATGAAAGTACATGAGATACTTGTTGAACGTCAAAAGAACTACCGCCAATTCACAAGAACTAGCCTCCGTCCTGAGAAGAATTGGCAAGAAACTCAGCGGGCATGTCTTTTTTTTTTTAATATTAGTTTTTTTTTTTTTAATATTAGATTTTTGTGATGATGTTTGATTAGAATGAATGTCTTATTAGCACCTAACTACTGAAGAAGCGACTAATAATCACTATGGGTTTAAAGTTTAATTTGAGCGCTTAATCAAATGTTAGCATTTTTCATTCACATTTATAATATTACTCGAATACATTAAAAAGGTTCTTTAGTTTGAGTTATGTTTTAGACAGACCACCGAGACTGGTATCGACGTTTAGTGAAGCTGTTACGAGGATAGGACAGAGTATAGCTTTGAAATGTGCAGCTACTGGCTTACCATCCCCTCGCATACTTTGGACTTTAGACGATAGACCACTTCCATCAGCGCCAGACAAGTAAGAATTTTGTAAGAATAATTTCTTTTTCATTTCTTAAATTATTCTTATTTTTGAATATGACTGGTTTTTTATCTATATTAATATATAAATCTACAGTGTTTTTTACGGATGTTCCGTTATACCTACTGAACCATGCTTCCGATTGGCTTGAAACTTGGTATCTATGTAGAAAATACATGTAATTAATGGATAGGCTAATATTTATATGAGTGTTGGACTCCCTACACTAGTTGCGGGGGCGTTAATGATGAGAATCTTTGTGGGAGTGAGAAATAATGATGTTAATTTGAAATGCCCAGCGAAGCGGATGGGTACAGCTAGTTAATCATAAACTGGTAAACTCATCAACATTTGTTTTCTTAGGTATAATGTAAATACTAGAGGAGAAACTGTGCCTGGTGCGGATGAAGGAACTGTAGTTTCCACACTTAGTATCACAATTAGAACTGCTGATGAAGGTGGACGATATGGATGCAACGCAACCAATTCTAGGGGATCGCACGTACATCATGCTAGATTAAATGTTTACGGTATGGACTCCCTAAAAATTTTCAAAACCACTCACCTACTGAACTTAAAAATGTTTTCTTCTTTTTATCCACCTTATCCCACTAGGTGGGGTCAGCACACCTTATTTTTCTCTTCCATTCTCTTCTATCTAGCCGTCATCTCAACACTCACTCCTCTCTCTCTCATATCGTCATTCACACATTCCATCCATGTCTTCTTCGGTAGACCTCTTCCCCCTTTACCTTGCACTACCATTTCCATACATCTCCAAATCACATGCATGTTATCTCTACGCATCACATGTCCATACCACGCTAACCGTCCGCTCTTTAATTTGTTCAAATTCTAAATGATGAAATAATTTCCAGGGCCACCAAATATTAGGTATTTACACGCGATTCACGTTAAAACTGACAATGATGTGAAATTGCACTGCCCTTATTCAGGGTATCCAATCAAGTAAGGAAAAATTTATTTAACTACTTAGATGCTTGTTGTTTGTGAAATATTTTTGACAAAGCAATTTTTTAGGGAGGTAGTTTGGCGTCGCGAGGATGGTTCGTTAGTAGACGTAGCAATGGAAGCTGGTGATGAACGAGGAATACTTAGATTACATTCTGTAAGGAGCGCCGCGTCAGGAAGCTACACTTGTGAAGTCCGAGCTGAAAGTGGAGAACTTGCAAGAAGAACTGTTCGCATTGAAGTTCACAGTAAGTAAATAAGAAATTAGAAATATAAGCTCTAGAATTTTCTTTGAGAATAGTTTAATCAACAGTTATTGTCTGTAGAGCCGCCAAAGATAGCGGATTTTCATTTTCCGGAAGAATTAGAAGTTGGTGGTAGTACTCAAGCAACATGCAGTTTGATAACAGGAGATAAACCAATACAGTTCACGTGGCAGAAAGATAATTTACCAATACCTTCTGCGCTTAAGGTAACTGTTATTCATAATTTGATTTCAGCAAGGGCTTTTAGAAAATTCTAAGTAGTATAGATAATAAAAATGTTTACAGACGGAGCAAAAAAACATGGATTTCTTTTCTATCCTAATCATACAAGACCTAACATCAGCTCACAGTGGCGAATACACCTGCAAAGCATCAAACGATTTTGGTAGCGTAAGTCACAGTGCGCCTCTAATTGTGAAAGGTAACTTTAATATTAATTTAAAAAAAATGTAGATTCTGGAAATAATAATGAATAGTATAATATTTAAAACAGCTTTTCTGCATAGAGTCACCAACCTGGGTATGGCGAGCACAAAACATTTCAGTGTCAGCTGGTGCGGTACTTCTGTTGCCATGTTCTGCTAAAGGACAACCGACTCCTAGGATATCCTGGGAATATTCTGCTGGTAATTGGTATTTTTGGTTATTTTTGTTATTATACTATTTTTAACTAGATTTATTCTTGTTTTCACTGATTTACCTTAACTTTAAAATAGAACGAACTAAATTATTGTGGGTATTGAATTTTTAGATGGTGATAATTGGCGACATGTCCTATGGAGTCAATCAGAGGCATCAGACATGGGAGGTGGCTCAGTACTTTCAGATGGAACAGTTTGGTTGAAAGAGGTCACTCCCGGACACGAAGGCTGGTACAGATGTACAGCAAGAGTTCAACATTCATTCTTGCACCATGCCTTTTATTTAGATGTTAGAGGTACATCTTCTAGAACCAATAATATCAAAAATATATCGAGAGGTGAAAGGCTATTTAGCTTAAGCGACGTTTTTGCAACTTTACAGTTTAAGTATTTAAAGTTTTAAATTTGGAAAAAATATTATAACAAAAACTTCTTCAGCTATTTGAATGGAGTAAACTTAATTGCAGTTCGATTAAAAACATCGAATTGTTGATACCAATACCAAATAAAACGCACCTTTAATTACAAAGATAAATGTCGCATATTAAATGAAATGTCGCTTGAATTATCTAGCCTTTCAGCCCTCGATATAATTATACTAAAATCTTAGTTACACATTGTTATTAAATGTCAAAATAAACTCTAAAATAGACTTCAAAGTTAGCCACAGTTCAGAGAAGAAACTGTAAAACGACTTGACGTGGACTTCTATCTTTATTTGAACAACTGTATTTAAATTCAGTTTAGGTGATAGGACCTCTTGTGAGTTTACTGGTGGTAAGACCTTTTGTGAGTTTTACTGGTGGTAGGACCTCTTGTGAACTCGCGCGGTAGGTACCACCGCCCTGCCTATTTCTGCTGTGAAGCAGTAATACGTTTCGGTTTGAAGGGTGGGGCAGCCGTTGTAACTATACTTGAGACCTTAGAACTTATATCTCAAGGTGGGTGGCGCATTTACGTCGTAGATGTCTATGGGCTCCAGTAACCACTTAAGAGCAGGTGGGCTGTGAGCTTGTCCACCCATCTAAATAAAATAAAATAAAATAATTACCGCTATAAACTGATCAAATTAAGTTCTAAAAAAAACAATAAAAACTATATATTTTTTTATGGTATGTAGAGCCTCCACGATTGACAAGGGGCGGTGGAGGTGGAGAAACTCGATGGGTGGTGAGAGGGGCTACGGCTCGTTTGACTTGCACAGTCAGAGGAGAACCTGAAATTCACGTCCATTGGACGCACGATTCGAGACCTTTGGCTTTGCAGTAAGTGCCACTCATGCATACGTATGTTTTATTGGCTTCGGTATGTATTTCTGAACGTTTCAAGTATATTTTTCGGTTTCTAATGTAATAAAAATATTACGTCAATTCTCTTTTTAATTCTGATAAATAGTAATAATAGTACTTAATAACTAGAAATGATTAAACAGATACTCATGACTTAGATTAGCCTTTAGATATTATTTCTGGATCCACCAATGCTTTATAGAGATATATAAAAATGAATTGCTGTTCATTAGTCTCGTTAAAACTCGAGAACGGCTAGACCGATTTGGCTAATTTTGGTCTTGAATAATTTATGGAAGAGAAGGTTTAAAAGGTAGATAAATATGAAAATGTCCGGAAGTAAATAAAAATAACAATTTTGTTTTTCCTTTGATGTGTCCCCCTTTCGGACCGATTCCTTTTATTTGCTTTAAGTTTATTTTATACAAAAGTTAAGGTCTTTTATTTATCGATTGAGGCACTACGAAGTCTGCCGGGTCAGCTAGTATTATATATAAATCTAATCTTTCTATGAACCTATAAATCTTGAATATACAAAAATCAACATGCAAATAAAGTTATCCAAATATTAGACTAACCCGAATTTATCAAATGAAACATTTACTTTACATTTACTGTTACTTTGTTCATGGGCATCCTAGAGTCTGGAACAAGCACAAAACGTGAAATATCAATTTATTAGTTTTAGTGGACAAAACAAATGGTATGGTTAAAAATGTTAAAATTTATTTTTCTAGCCCATCTATAAATGGTCTTAAGCAAATCGTATTTTTGAATTTGATCTACGTCACTGTAGGTAAATATAACTAAATCAAAATATCGGTTTCATAAAATATCCATAGATATTGTGCAGCTTAGAAACTCTTAACACGATAAAATTATAACTGCAGACAAAATCAACCATTCTAATCACGATTAATTAATTAATTGAGTTTTTATTTATTTATTTTTATTTTATAGATGGGTGGACGAGCTCCCAGCCCACCTGGTGTTAAATGGTTACTGGAGCCCATAGGCTACTATAACGTAAATGCCGCCACCCACCTTGAGATATGAGTTTTAAGATCTCAGTATAGTTACAACGGCTGCCCCACCATTCAAACCGAAACGCATAAGTCACGAAGTAATTTAAAAAATAAATGAAGGACTTGTAATTCTTAAATATAATTTTATTTCATTAGTGGATCGGGGGGGATAGAAACCAGAGACACGAACAGCGGTATAATTACTTCGGAAATGACTATAAACCACGCAGGACCGGAGCATGCGGGCGAGTACCGGTGCTTAGCAAGGAACTTGTATGGGGCCGACGAACTTGTCTTCAGACTATTCGTGAAAGGTAATTACTGCTTTAATAGCTGAAATTTGATAGTTTTGGATTAACGTTTGCGAAACTGTCCACCAAAGAGACGCTAATTGCGGTTAGATCTATACGACGATTTGCATTCTGGGGCGGTTTAATGTGGGCTCGCAGGGGTAGACGTAACTATCCGGAATTGTTTTAAAGGGATTTTTTCCTCTATTGGATAAATAGTTCTGACTTTTTTACATTCTTCCTTCACTATTCAGTATATTCTTCTATGGAATGCGCTCCCATTCAAAATAAGGTCGGATTCTATAAGTGAAGCGTTTAAGACGAGGGTTCGAGAACTGTTTCTCAAAGAGTTAGCAGAGTCATCTAATTCATAATATTTATTTATATATATTTTTATATGTATATATTTGTGTATATGTATTTATTTAAGTACGAGTATTTGTATCTATAAATATTATGTATGTTATATATAAACATATTTTTAAGTAATATCACTATCACGCTACACCTACCAAGGTTCATCTCTGCGCCCTCCTAAGGTAGACTGTCAGAGAATGCGTATGGCATTAAGTCCGCCTTTATTCTGTCTAGTATATAAAGTTATAAATAAATAATTGGACGAAAGAGTTCTCTGACCACCTAGTTAAGTGATTACCGGATTGCCACCCCTGTTCGAGCCTTCGGGTGCGAGTTTCACAATCTGTGCTTATGCAAATTACGTAAAAACAATTGTTTCGTGGTGGAAGTCGTTTGCTTCGTATTTATAAAAAAAACACTTGTCTGAGAATTTGAGCTCTGGCATAGTCGCATCACACGATAATCCTGGCTCCTTGCCCATTAGGCCAATGAATGCGAATTAGTTGGTTGGAACAGTAAAATCGATATACTTATTTCGTATACAGAACGCCCGAGTATACCAGAGGAAGTACGCATATCTGACGTTTGGCCACGTAAAGCCCGTATCACTTGGAGGATGGCGAGAGGCGCTATGGTATCACATTATTCGATACAATACAGAGCATTAAACCGAGAGCTAACGACTGCACCGCTTGACGCTCCGCTACCCGCTCTGCTCGACACCTGGGACACTCCCGAAGTACTCAATCTGACATTGGGAAACTCAGATTTGTTACATGTGGCGTAAGTTTTAAGAATATTTCATTAAGCGTTGCGAAATGAGATAGACAGATTCTTATTAAATTACTAATTTATTCTTAGTATTTTTTAATTTTAAAAGGTCAATTTAAAAAATGAGACTTTTACATAACTTTTTTTTTTATTGCCCTTGTCGGCAGACGTGCATTCGGCCCATCTAATGGTGAGTGGGTACCGTCGGCCATGGACTTCAGCAATGTCAGGGGCACAGCTAAGCCGCTGCATACCGCTAAAATTTATTTTTATCAGTAACGTATCGTTGTTGCAATTCATATTGAATTAAAGTTTGAAATCGACCTGGGCTAATAGATAAGATGTCTGGTATATTATCAAACGATGCGCAACTGTGCAAGTGTTCAAATCCCGCAGGCAGGTAGGTTTTTGTGCTAAGTAAATACGTTCTTAAGATGTGTTCACGAATGACTTTTCATCATTTTCATGATGAAGGAAGTACATCGTGTATTAAAAATTGAACTAACCAAATATAACCATCCTTCGTTGATATATGATATGATATGAAGAGTTGGGTGAGTAGTAGCTATAAAATAAAATAGAGACTTCGATCTCATGTATTAATAAGGAGGCGGCATTCACGTCGTGATATTTATAGGCTTCGGTGATCATTGACCAGGTGAGTCGGTATCTCGTTCACCCTGCGGGCTCAAGGGATGAAATTTAGGGCCCTACCCACTAAGTAGTCGTTTAGCCTGCACTTTGGCCCAAGCGTCCACTGCTCCCAGGTCAAAACCCAAACGAGGTAAGGTAGTTACTGCGGCCAAAACGAGACGCGTGACTCACCGAACTATTAAAATATTTTAAAAACAAACATTCTTATTTTTTTGCCTTTCGCGGTTGAGACGATGGGCCCTTGGGGCCCTGAAGCAAAGAAATTTTTATCAGAAACCTCCAAACGCTTGAAGGAGGTTACACGTGATGCTAAGGCTGGCTGGTACTTTGCACAGAGAGTGAGTCTGGCTGTCCATGGAGGTAACGTAGCCAGTACTTGGGAACTGTGCCTCCTTCAAGCGCATTGGAAGATTTGTTCTACTGTGTTTTATGTTAAATTATTTGATTTGTTATTTATTAATAAAGGAGATTAGCTAATTTTAAAAACACATATATATTATTACCACATCAAAACAATACATGTTTGGCAAATCGTGTTTCACTGTAACATAAGTTTGTTCTAAATTACAAATGTGGCGAAGCTTTGACTGTATCCCTTTGTGTCAAGACTTCTCAGGCCGCTGTTTGTATACGTGATTATCTTGTTTGTTTCTGAAATGTGAACGTTCATTTAATTTGCTAAAGATAGTCCTGTTTTGTAGCTTCTAGCCACTCTATTTGTTAAAAACTAGAGCCTGTTCTGATCCATTTATGTGATAATTTAATGAAATAATATTTTGATTTTGATTGACCCATTGACGTCACAAACGTGACGGGAAAGCCGTTATACAATTCAGACTTTCATGTTAACCTAAAAATTCAAACTGTGATTATTAGGGAATTTGGTTGTTTTTTTATTTCTTAGATGGGTGGACGTGCTCACAGCCCACCTAGTGTTAACTGGTTACTGGAGCCCATAGACATCTATAACGTAAATGCCGCCACCCACCTTGAGACATAAGTAAAGGTCTCAAGTATAGTTACAATGACTGCCCCACCCTTCAAACCGAAACGCATTACTGCTTCACGGCAGAAATAGGCAGGGCGGTGGTACCTACGCGTGCGGACTCACAAGAGGTCCTACCACCAGTAACGGTGAAATGTAAACAAAAAACATTTCGGTTCAATTCTTTTCGAGTTACGAAAAGTTCTTTTGTAGAATTTCATGAAAATATCTGCATCAGGTCTGAAGGTCCGAGCCGAGCCGGTGCTTTTGTGTCAGGCTTGTCACCTGACACTCGATACGCATTACGGGTAGCCGCTTACAACGACGTTGGAGCATCGTCTTATACAGCACCTCTACACTTCACTACCCGGGAGGAAGGTTTGTATTCTTTAAAAACGATAATTTAATACAATAACCATACACACCCGTCAGGACAACCTATACGGAAGAGGCGTCAGAAACCTTGGGGATCCAATACCCTCTAAAATGCTGGTGCAGAAGGCAACGGGAAACCACTGCACTAATTTCCCACGAGAGTCATGAGCAGGTCGTATCCGACTGATGCATGACCACGACCACACTGTCAAGAGTGTACGAATAGGAAGAAGAATCTTCATTTTAAATAAAAAAGGGGATTTGGTGTTTAAAAAAAGCTGATTATCACAATTTAGGGTAACAAAATTATCACTGTAATCTAAATTATATTATTATCTTGAAATTTAATTAATGTAGCTATCGTAATTTTATTCAATAGATGGAAACGTTTTATCAGTACATTGAATTAAGTAAATTATATATAGAAGTGGGTGGGGACATTTATTTTGGGATATCTTTAACCTTTAGTAGATATTGAACTTGTCTGTGGATGAGTTACAGCAAAAAAGAAAGTTTCCGCAAAAAAATTCAAAATAAATTAAAATGTATTTTCAGCTTTTTTTTTCCTACCTAAGCTGAGAGCCTTGAGAGGCTATATAAGCGTAACCTTAACTAGTAAGTGAGCTCAGGGTGCTCAAACCTGACGACGTTGCTTACACGAACCCTAGCAAGAGTCGTGCTTCGCAGAATCTACCACCGGATCGGAAACGCGACCCACTGAGAAGATCCGGCGAGAAACTCAGTGGGCTGTGTCTGTGGGTTAATTTAATCGTCGAGCCCTTCGTCGCAAGCGACGGGTTCGACGAGAAAGATGACCGGTGCTTGAGGTACCTAGAAGTACCGTTAGTGGATCGAGAGGATCCGATATGACGTGTGAAAACGCGCGCACTTTGCGCTATGCTACGTAGCGCTGTTAATTCACGTTGTAAAGTGTTTCGCAATTAGAATGAATACGTTTCAGTCTCAAAGGAACGGAAAACGTAACTTTTCCAATTAATGACAACAATCGAACGGCAAATATTAAAGATTACACAGTATATTAAATGACAGCCAGTTCCACGAAGTCTATTAATATTAGCTCACTGGTTTCCGTCGTCTAAATTTTTCCTTTTGTCCTCATTGAAAGACTTTTTTTACGTTTCGAAATAAGAGTTATTGTAATTTTTTTGTGCGTCATTTACGATGCTTGTAGCATTTCAAGATATGGCTGATGCAACGTTTCACGGGGAAAAAATCGACACTAAAGCCTATTTAAATTAACTAGTTTATTTCAATGGCAACAAAATTAATAGTGCAATATACGAAAAGTTTAAAAATAAACGGTTTCTCATTTTAATAGCACCCGGAGGAGCTCCCCGCGATATCACTGTACGAGCACTAAGAGCTCGTGAACTTCACGTCACATGGCAGGTTTGTGACCCATTGAATATTCGTAACCATCATTCTCAATTCTTTAAAATAATTGCAAAATAAATTTTAAACCAAACATCTTTTTCTATATTTCATTAGGGCAAATCGTAGTAATGTATTAACATCCAAATGATATGGAAGCTGAAGGATAAATAATAAAAAAACGAGTTTTTTAATAACTCATTTATTTTTGTATACTATACTCACCCCGCGGTTTCAAGAATGAAATATATTTGCATTTACGCGGAGTAATGAGTTGCTTATAATTATTTACTTATTTTCGTATTTACTTTAATTGAGTAATTCTTTGATACATAAACTACCAATATCAGTATCAGTAGAGTACCTAGTTGCTACAAAGAATCATGAAACACTGAAACTCATTTTAGTATTTATTATGACACATATACCCGGCATAAAAAATAACCAGTGTTAATCTTATGATTTATCTTTATGCAAAATTTCATTGAAACATCTAAATAGTATCATAGTTATAATAATAAGTATAGATTTTTGAAAAAATTCTGCTATTTGTCCGAAACATTGAGTTTTAAGTAAATCTCAGTCTGTATTATTTTCTTTGCCATAAAACTATTATGTTCATGAGATTTTAAGAAGAGGATATTAAGTAAATCAGAGAACAAATTTTTAAAAGAAAAATAGTATCACACTAGTCGAAAAATGTCCACTGCTAGACATACCCCTTCTTAAAGTTTGGCACTACAAGGCCCGACTTTAGATTTCCTCATGATTTTGTAATCATGGACATTTTAGTACTAATAATTGCGTCCTAGCGGCTTGCCAAGAATTGTACGTTTCAGGTCCCAATAATAATAGTAGAGTTATTTTATTTTAGTCTCCACTTCGAGAAACATGGCATGGAACTTTACTAGGATATACCATACGTTGGTGGGAGGTATCGGAGGTAAACAAAGGCGTTCTCACCGAGGGTCCTGGTTCTGAAAGTGGAGCAAGCGCAGATGCCACTAGTACGACTCTTAGAGGTTTGAAAGCTGCGACAAGGTACGGTGTTACCGTAAAAGCTTACAATGCAGCGGGCACTGGTCCATCTTCACCGCCTCATTATCGATACACATTGGAATCAGGTAGATTTTAATTAAGTATTTTATCAAATATGAAGTCTTTTTTTTAAGTTACATTAATAACCTTTGATATACTTTGATTACTGATGATACTTTGATTTACTGGTGGTAGGACCTCTTGTGAGTCCGCGCGGGTAGGTGCCACCGCCCTGCCTATTTCTGCAAGCAGTAATGCGTTTCGGTTTGAAGGGTGGGGCAGCCGTTTTAACTATACTGAGACCTTAGAACTTATATCTCAAGGTGGGTGGCTCATTTATGTTGTGGATGTCTATGGGCTCCAGTAACCAATTAACACTAGGTGGGTTGTGAGCTCGTACACCCATCTAAGCAAAAAAATATACGAGTCATTTTAATTTTTCATTTTAATGAATCGTATTCTATCTTAATCTAATTTATCCTATCCATGACCTTTCAGTCCGTTTCTGCCACGACGCCATTTTATATTTCAATTTGAAGTATAACCATTATTAAGGCGAACGATGGTATTATTTCGTTACGCCTATGAACTCTTATTAACAGTATCCAAAGATAATTTCAAGAGTTGATCTGCCATACTGACCCGGAAAAAAAAGAGATCGTGCAGAAAAAATGGTGTTTGTTGATTGAAATTAAAACAAGATGAAATTTTGTGATAAAGTGAGAATGTTTTTAATGGTGGTAGGACCTCTTGTGAGTCCGCACGGTTAGGTACCACCACCCTGCCTATTTCTGCCTTGAAGCAGTAATGCGTTTCGGTTTGAAGGGTGGGGCAGCTGTTGTAACTATACTTGAGACCTTAGAACTGATATCTCAAGGTGGGTGGCGCATTTACGTCGTAGATGTGTCTATGGGCTCCAGTAACCACTTAACACCAGGTGGGCTATGAGCTCGTCCACCATATAAGCAATAAATTTTTTTTTGTTTACTATAGGTCCTTACTTATGTTTATACAAAGTATCTTACAAAAGTAATGCAATTGCAGTAATTCATATAGGAACAGGCACGAGCCGGGACTTTGCCACTGTGACGTATAAATAAATCCGCACGACCGATCGGCGATCGTAAATTTCACGATCAAAATGCAAAATGGCTTAATTGGACTGTGGCCTTTCGATCTAGGTCAAACGGTTCAGAACAAAATATCGGATTTTATTCAATGCACATTTTTTTTTCGTTTTAACCGTGCCTCAAAGCAAAAACTTCAACGTCCTATAACTAAAAAAAAAAATACTGGAATAGTTAGGAAATTACAAGCACTAATCGAAATACCGTAAAATCTCAAGGATGAGATTCATTTTAAGTAGGCATTACATCTCCTCTTTTCTTATATTACTGAAATATTGAAAGAAACTATTTCCAAAAAAAAGTGCGTTTTAAACAGAACGTTTGAAATGGAACAAAAATTATACCTAAATGTGTAATTATTTCGGTACTTTAGCACCTACTGGAGGTCCTGAAGGTGTGGAATGTAAATCAAGTGGTGCAACATCCCTCCGTGTTTCTTGGGGTCCGCCAGCCTTGGATTCTCGTGGCGGTCTGATCACCCATTACACTGTACAATACACGAGGAGAGATACTGATCCTATGCTGCTTACCCAAGATGCTTATCTTCGTGTGCAGGTTATATCGTTTCATTGATTTTTTTTCTAAATTCATACGGAGTCACAAAAACATACTTCGATACCTACAGTTGAAGGACGTTTTGATAACTTCTAACTTAGCATAAATGTATTAAAATAAAATAAAAAATAGTTCAATCAAATTACTGCAACCCATATACATCCTGTATAAGCCCAAAATCTAAATAAAGCAATTGCTAGTAATTTTTATTACAGACAGGTTTTCAAAGATATTTAACCACTAAATTAGTTTGCAGAGTGGGAAAGCCTTACACTAAATAATTAGGTCTTAGATCCCATGTCTCAAGGTGAGTGATGGTATTAACGTTGTGATGTCTATGGACTTCGGTAACCCTTAAATACTAGGTAAGCCGTAAGCTTGCTTATCTGTTTATGCAAGAAATAATAAAAATAGTATCTATGTAATAATAGACATTATCCTAAAGGTTGAAGTGTCGGGCGCTTGGTTGTTCAACCCATAAAATCTACAAGATCCATAAGATATCTTGTGTTTCTGTAATCGAGACTTTCTGGGTAACAGGGCGAAGAAGCGACCATATCTCGATTAACGCCATACGCTGAATACGAAATAAGAATTAGAGCTCACACTGCAGCCGGCGATGGACCACTCTCAACACCTCAAGTCTGCAGAACTGATGAAGATGGTAATTCTATTGCCAACTTAGATAATTTTAGTACAAAAGAGTTTGTTAAAATCTTGATACTCTAAGAATAGCAAGTAGCACTTCTTTGTTTATTTTCAGTCCCAAGTGCACCAGGAGGAATAAAGCTGATCGCTTTGGGCGAACGTTCCCTAAGAGCGTCTTGGCTTCCACCACCAGAACCAAATGGAAAACTAACCCATTACACTTTATTTGTTAAAGACTTATCAGGGTAAGTAAGGATGGATAATTTATGCTGCAAATCATTTTGGGATCTGTTTTCTGTATTAAGCATAATATATATTTTATTAGATCTCACGAACCAAATTTGACAAAAGTGAATGCGTGTGCGGAAAGCGAAGGCAGTTCCGGTGAATGTATGAAATCTTTGCGTGGATTAAGACCGAGTAGAACCTACGAGGCTTGGGTACGAGCAGCTACCGTTGCCGGAGACGGACCTCCTTCGGCTGCTGTGGCTTGTCAAACTAACGCTTTAGGTATGATCATACGAAGGGTAAATAACAAAAACAACCTCTTTGTATTATAATTTTTTTATTACCTTGTAAGTTTTAATTGCAGCGCCGGCTCGTATTTCTTCATTCGGTGGTATAGCTATAGGAACCGCGGGTGGTTCTTTATCTTTAAGATGTGTTGTGGGTGGTGCTCCACCACCGGCTAAGCGGTGGCTCAGAGGTGGTAGTCCCACCCATCCCAGACCACCGTTTCATCTCGATGGCGATGCTTTATTGATAAGAGGTAAGAATTGAAAATCTTTATGTCCCAAATCGGTATTCAATATACAGAAACCATCATATATCAATATATATTTTTTATGATGCAGGTCTAGAGCTATCACATGCCGATAATTACACGTGCGTTGCTGAGAATCCTCACGGTTCTGATTCAGTAACTTGGAAGGTTATTGTGTTGCGTCCTCCTGCACCTCCTGGTCTCATGTTATTAGAGGCCAGATCGAGAGAATTAGAACTAGACTTAAGGCCGGCACAGAGAGCACAAGGGCATGCAGTAGCAAAGGTTTTTACTATACATTGGAGACTAGCGTCGCTCGAGGTAATATTCAACGTAGTTTTAATTAAGACACGTGATAGTTATCAAAAATTAGTTGTGAGAGTTATGTATTGATCTTTTTCGATTAAATTGATTTTTATGCTCAAAAATCTACTGATACAATCTTTCAGGGTGAGTGGCGAACTCAATCCGCTACTCCAGGTCCGATAATACTGACTGGACTACGTTGTGGATCAGCATATAGAGTGTACGGGTCAGCCGGTGGTGCTCCTGGTTCTGAGCTCACTGTTCGTACATCTGGAGGTCCGCCTATAGCTCCTCCGGACGCTAGATGGATAAGAGCTAATGCAACTCACGCTAGGTTCGATACTAGTATTTGGGGAGATGGGGGGTGTGGACCAGTTGCTCTTAAGTTAGAGTGGGCAGGATCTGGCTTAGCCGGAGCTAGAGATGTCCCTGTGGGAGGTGAAGTTATATTAGGCGGTAAGTTAAAACAACCATCTTATAACAATTAAAAATATAACTTTATTGACCTTTTAAAATTTCCAATATTTGCTAATGCTATAAATTGCATCAGTTTTATTATATTCTTTATGTGTAGGAAGGTTAGTTATTTACTTGTTTGTTTTAATATAATTTGTAATGAAAATATGTTAGGCCGTCACAAAAACCAGTGAATCACTCGTAGGTTTATCCCCCGGTGCAAGATATCGTCTTGCAGCCAGAGCTTCTAACGAGGCGGGTTGGACCCGTGAAGTTTATGAATTTACAACAACACTCTCAGAAGGAGGATTTGCCGAGGAAGTCGATGCTCCATTCCCAGCTACCGCGGGAGAATTAGCACTGCTTCTGGCACTATGCGCCGCCCTGTCTTTGGCTGCCTTAACTATATTAGCTATATTATTAAGGAGAAAAAGGTAAGTTATGATTTTTTTTTAATATGTAGTTCTTTGGAGTTCAGTTTATAGAGTTTTATATTTGCATTATTATATCATATTAGTAATTATCGCGATTGATACAATATTATAGGAGGGAATATTAATAGGAGATAGGAGGGAATATTTAAATCTCCTATTAATAGGTTTAAATTAATATTCCCTATTAAATTATATCTCCTATTAGTAGGAGATTTAAATTATTAGAGCCAAGTTGCAAATTGAAGAGATTCCAATCAGCTGTTTTAAGTTTTTAGGTATTTTAATAGCTATCTAATAAAATACAATACTAATAGCTATACAATAGCTAAAAATATAAAACTAAGATTAAAAATAGATTTGAAAAAATTAAGATTTAAAATGGCGATCAAAAATTAAAATTAACACTTGAATAAAATTTAATTTTAAGCCAAGTAAAAAAAAATATAAATTAAAAAAGGTATCTTAATTTTTCAATCACCAACTAAAGGACAATGATTGAGAATAATTTTAGGAGCTACTTTTCAATCTCAATTTAGAAAATGTCTCTAATGTATTCGAAAATTTTCCTCACAAGCAGACAATCAATCACATTTTATTTCTAAAATTTGGTTATGTTCACAAGACTGACTAAAAAAACATTTACTTTTTATATTTGAGTCGACTATTATCAAAGGCGGCAATCTGACTTTTGGACAATGATTGGTAAATCAGAAAAACGAATTATTGACTTTGTATTCCATTGGCAGTCACAAAACTCTTCGGAACGACATCTTAGATAAATAACAGGTTAACTATTAACCTTTATTTAATGCAGGTTTTGAACCGTATTCTTTGAAGGAGACGATTATATTCAAATAAATCTGTATTGACATATCAATANGGGACCACAACTGGTGTCAGTCAGTCGCAAACTATTTTCCTCTGCAGGTTCCTTACGTAGGTTGCGTAATTTTCTTCCAACATCTACTAAAATTGCACTTGCACAGTCTCTGTTACTCCCCATTATTGATTATGCCGACGCCAGCTATCTTGATCTAACCGAGGCCCAGCTAAATAAACTTGAGCGGCTTCAAAATTTTATCATAAGGTTTATATTTGGTTTACGCAAATATGACCACGTCTCTGAGTATCGAGTTAAGCTCAAGTGGCTTCCTATTCGTTATCGCCGGAATGTTCATATATTGTCTCTTCTTTACAGTGTCCTGTTTAATTCCTCGTCCCCGCGCTACCTTCAGGAACGTTTTGATTTCCTACATACTGCAAGCTCTCATTCACTCAGGTCATCGGAGAATTTAATGCTGAAGATTCCGGCTCACGGGACGTCATTTTATGACCATTCCTTTGCGGTTGAGGCTGCCCGTTTATGGAATGCGTTGCCCTTAAGCGTTAAACAATCTTCCTCGCCGGAAATTTTCAAGTCCAGATTGAAATCGCACTACTTTGCTTCTATGATATAACTGTATAAGTTCCTACTTCTTTTGTTTTTTATCTTGTATATTTTTAGTATTTATATGTATTTAATCGTATGTAAGTTTATCTTATATGGTATTTATTTTTCACATGTGTATTTAAATATATATTTTTATGTAAGTTTATTAAGATATAGCACCGTCCAGTTAACTTATTCCTCTCCCTGCAAGGTTGCCTGGAAGAGATCGCTTTCAGCGATAAGGCCGCCCATTTATATACCGACTTTTGTTTTATTACTTTACTATGTACATATTAAGGTGTTATATAAATAAAGAGTTATTATTATTATTATTATTATTGCCACCTTTGATAATAGACGACTCATTTTTTACGTTGGTAACATTTTGACGCGGCCATAAATCGATTCCGTCCGTCCTAGTAGAAATCATTAAGCCGAGTGGTGAAAATATGAATGAAATAAAGGAAGGTCGTTAGCACTTGTAATCTGTAGATGACAAGCCGCTGACACAAGCGTTCTAACGACAATTGAACGCCTCCATCATCGACCCTTTTCACCCTTTTACTGGAATCTGAAGTATTTATTCGACTTTTTATGAAGAAAATGTGACGTCAGCATTTTTAATTTTCGAACATTCGTTCAATCATTTCAAATTACCATATAAAGATTAATCTGGTTGTCGCTTGAAATAAATATTCCAACTTTTTTTATTTTATTTTTATTGCTTAGGTGCACGAGCTCACAGCCCACCTTTTTTTTTTTTTTTTTTTTTTAACGCTGGGGAATCCATTTACGGATACCCGGTCGAGGGGGGTAACGGACCGGGTTATGTCGGACTCCGGCGCCTCCTGAGAGGAGGAAGGGGAGAAGAGAAGGACCGAGGTCCTTCACCTCCCCCAATTTCTCACAGGAGACTACGCCTTGAAAAAGGCGCGCGAAGCACTTGCCCCGCAGAACGACTACCGACTAAACCCCATCGAGCTCCACCACACCGACTACACGAAACTTACGGTACCGCGATGCGCGCCGAAAGTCTCGCCTTAGGCGGTACCCGTACTAATGTTAAGACGGGATTTCATCCCCGGGAAAATCCCGTAGAACCTCGTCTCGGGAGACACACCGTGAGCGGCGCACAGGAGCCACCTTGCACCGCTTCACCACCGGACCAACAGTCGAGTGCCGGGCGCCCCCGCACCCGGCACTCGATAGTCCCTACGAGGGCTGAGCGGCGGCCTCTCGCACGCGCCGTCCACCCCGCCTTCTGCGCTGAGGAGCCGAAGAGGGATCCCATTCCCTTTCGCGCTCCTCAGCCTCACGAAGCGCCATGACCAAGTCACAGAACCCAGCCATGGCCTCCCACGAACTCCGGTCCTCTACCATACGGGCGACGATAGCCCTCAAAGAGAGGTCCTGCCCCAACACCGCGACGAGGTTTCGCCGCGGGTGCTCCCACCGTGGGCACGCTTCTAGCGCGTGCTGGGCGTCATCGTTCGGGTGCCCGCACTGGTGGCAGCCCGGATGTGGCTCCCTTCCGCAGACTCTCCACAGATACCTTCACAGCCCACCTGGTGTTAAGTGGTTACTGAAGCCCATAGACATCTACAACGTAAATGCGCCACCCACCTTGAGATATAAGTTCTAAGGTCTCAGTATAGTTACAACGGCTGCCCCGCCCTTCAAGCCGAAACGCATTACTGCTTCACGGCAGAAATAGGTAGGGTGGTGGTATCTACCCGCGCAGACTCACAAGAGGTCCTACCACCAGTAATTACGCAAATTATAATTTTGCGGGTTTGTTTTTTATTACACGATGTTATTCCTTCACCGCGTAAGTCAATCGTGAACATTTGTTGAGTACGTATTTCATTAGAAAAATTGGTACCCGCCTGAGATTCGAACACCGGTGCATCGCTCAACACGAATGCACCGGACGTCTTATCCCTTAGGCCACAATGACTTCAAAACCACCACTTAAATATAGTAACGTCCTTCGAGTAAATTATAATTTGACTGAACTAAAAAGTGAAATATATTTTTCCTTTAAACTCCTTAAAAAAATTGATTAGATGGGTAGACGATCTCACGCCCCACCCGCTGTTAGGTGGTTACCGGAGCCCACAGACATCAACAATGTAAATGCCATCACTCAACTTGAGACTTATGTTCTAAGTGATTGTTTACCATCAGTTAGAGCGCTTTAGTCGTTAAAAGTTTAATTAACAGTCGTTCCACTCTTTTTAGATATGATCTCGTCATAGATAAGAGTCAAGTCATAGTCAGACTTTTTGTTTCGTACCTAACAAAATACTGAGATTAAAATAATAATATTTATAGTAGATGTTTTATTGTCTACACGTTTTATGTGTGTATTTTATGAGATATTTTTGTATTTAAATAATACATATTATTGTATTTGTACTTTTTTATTTTTTTTATTATGTCCTTAGATTACGCAGACTTCTCCAATTTCCAAAACCAACCAAAGGTCGACAACTACGCCCGTTTACTTATTCTATAAATTATCGTTACTTTGGTGTACTTAATTTCAAGAAAGTCTATTATGATATTTGTATTGTGTACTTTTGTTACTGGTGGTAGGACCTCTTGTGAGTCCGCACGGGTACGTACCACCGCCCTACCTATTTCTGTCGTGAAGCAGTAATGCGTTTCCGTTTGAAGGGCGGGGCAGCCATTGTAACTATACTGAGACCTTAGAACCCATATCACAAGGTGGCATTTACGTTGTAGATATCTATGTGCTCTAGTATCCACTTAACACAAGGTGGGCTATGAGCTCGTCCACCCAACTAAGTAATAAAAAAAATTTAAATAAGAATTTCGATAATAAAGTCATTTTCAGTAAAAAATTAAGCCGCATTTGTAAGTTGAGAGCTTATAAGAACGTAAAATGATTTGAAAGGTCGGATGGCGCGGCCGCGGGGGTATCCACAAGCGCTGAGAAGCCGAACTGCGGTACATACAAAGGGACACCACATCAAGCGCCAAAGCTACCCCCCGATCCACCAGGTAATGAAAACATTTTGTCCTCTATAGTATCTATACTAATATTATAAATTTGAAGAGTTTGTTTGAACGCGCTAATCTCAGGAACTACTGGTCCGATTTGAAAATTTCTTTCAGTGTTAGATAGCCCATTTGTCGGGGAAGGCTAAATATAGGCTATGTAACATCACGCTGAGACTAATGCAAGCGGAGCACCAATAAAGAATGTTTCAGAATCGGTGTTTTAATCCCTTTTGCGGCTAAAGTTTCGCTCAAGTAATGTATGAGAGTCTTTTCTGTATCTGTATCTGTCTAATGTATGAGAGTCTCTTTTGAAGTCGGTTAAAAAGCGTGATTTTGGTACCTTAAATAAAATTTTCACATTCTAGTATTCAAAAATATCGTCACTTTCTACGTAAATGAAGAGGCGGGTAAAATTTTGCGTTATGCCAAAGTAACTATTCCACGCGAACGAAGTCGCGGGCAAAAGCTGGTTGCATTATAAATGTATCTACTTTTACATAAATTCGACCTCGTACACAAACCAATAAACAGTATCTAGGACCGTCTAATGTTTTAAAAAATAGTAAACACTTTCAATGCCCCGAAAGCAATTCAAGTCTTACAAACAATTATCCCTAGTTAAATATGTATTAATGGCGTTCAATGGTGGAAAATTCGACCACAGTAACTGAAAAATAGAGATTTAAATTCATTGTATCATTTTCTCTTTTGTCTTAAATAATTATTTCTTGTAGACGTAGGTAATTTTTTATTTCGTTTTTTAATTTTTTGCTTCTTAGCATTAAAGTTTTTTCATCAATTGCTATTATGGAAACAAAACAGAAAATTGATGTCTAAACGGTGAAGTAAAATGTACTGAGCCATTTCGAATTTGCCTGTTAAAATGCAAATTACAAATAAAAATAACCGTGTTATGTGAAAAATGAACAAAAAGATTCGCTTAAAATAATTTTGGGATGATGGAAATAAACTTTTCGTTGGAAATATCGTGAAAAGCTTTTAGCGGCTCTCGGAGTTTTTCTCCCGGAAGAATCGAAATCTTTGATCTTAAGTCAATTGCTATGTTATACTACTGTAGTTGTAATATTGTTAAGTGTCAACACTTTTTGCTTTAAATTATCAAACTTGGTGCTACGAAATTATGAACAATATTATTACAGTGTGTCATTTTTTGAACAAGCTTATTAAGAGTCTTAAGAGAAAAACCTTTTTTTTTTCGAAAATGGGTGAATTCGGAATTTATAGTCATTGTCACGATTCAGTCGAACTCTCAATTTTATTATTCATTTGTTTTATTTATTTTTTATTGCTTAGATGTGTGGACGAGCTCACAGCCCACCTGGTGTTAAGTGGTTACTGGAGCCCATAGACATCTACAACGTAAATGCGCCACACACCTTGAGATATAGTTCTAAGGTCTCAGTATAGTCACAACGGCTGCCCCACCCTTCAAACCGAAACGCATTACTGCTTCACGGCAGAAATAGGCTGGGCGGTGGTACCTATCCGTGCGGACTCACAAGAGGTCCTACCACCAGTAATTACGCAAATTATAATTTTGCGGGTTTGATTTTTATTGCACGATGTTATTCCTTCACCGTGGAAGTCAATCGTGAACATTTGTTGAGTACGTATTTCATTAGAAAAATTGGTACCCGCCTGCGAGATTCGAACACCGATGCATCGCTCAATACGAATGCACCGGACGTCTTATCCTTTAGGACACGACGACTACAAATACAACATTCAACATACATTCAACGGTATACAACAAAGTATTATGGTAGTATCTAGCCGTGAAGGCTTACAAAACCGTCAGTATCATCAGTCATTTATTTAAGACTCTCAAAAACACTCATAGTGCTTTGCTTTAAAATTTCTAGTACTTCCCTAATTAACCAATTAATGTTCTCTTTTTTTATTGCCCTCGTAGACAGACGAGCATACGGCCCACCTGATGGTGAGTGATTACCATCGCCCATGGACTTCAGCAATGCCAAGGGCAGAGCGAAGCCGCTGCCTACCGCAAATGAAAATGGAATGTTCAAAATGGATTTAATTTTTATTCGCGTTTGTACAACAGATGTGTACGAAATAAGCCCTTATGCAACTTTTGCTGGAGGACCGGGTTCAACGGCGGGTGCGTCTCGCGCGTACACTTTGCAGCTGCGGGCGCTCGCTAGGCATGATGATGACGCGGCGCCACCACACCCTCCATGCTGCGACGGTAAATACGGAAAACAATCTAACCTAACCTAACCTAACACTCGTACTGTTATTAAAATCTCTACTAAGCTTCTTCTTTTTTTTCTAATGAAATACCGTACTCAACAAATTTCCACGATTGACTTCCACGGTGAAGGAATAACATCGTGTAATAAAAATCAAACCCACAAAATTATAATTTGCGTAATTACTGGCGGTAGGACCTCTTGTGAGTCCGCGCGGGTAGGTACCACCACCCTGCCTATTTCTACCGTGAAAGGTTTGAAAGGGGGGGGCAGCCGTTGTAACTATACTTGAGACCTTATATCTCAAGGTGGGTGGCGCATTTACGTTGTAGATGTCTATGGGCTTCAGTAACCACTTAACACCAGGAGGGCTGTAAGCTCGTCCAGCCATCTAAGAAAAAAAAAACGGATTACAAGCATATCGGTAGTAGAGTAGATGAAATAAACACTTATTTTCACTGCACTGTGACGTGTTTCTTTTTCAACAAGATTACGTAAGAGTACTCAGCTGTGACCAGTGATTAACTAGGCGTGGCGTTGCGGATGTCTATGACCAACGATATGTAACTAGTAAGAAAATCTGAATCATAGATTTTATCTGCCTTCGACGGCAAAAAAACCATCTCGACTTTCGCCGTCAGCTTATGTTAAGAAACTGTTCTCTTTTGAGAATGTTTTTTTTGTTATAATACATCAATATGTTTAAAATTAATTGTACATGAAAAAAATTGTTTAAAAATAATTTTAAAATAAGGATTTAAACACGAACCGAACTATGAGTTTTGATAGTTTGATCATCTTCGTTATTTAAGATATTCCATAAACTTCTATACGATTTTTCAAAACCATTCCAGATCCGATGAACTACATTTTTTTTGTTAATTTCACTTTAGAACTCCAAATATCAATCGCTAAAAGTTAAGTCGAACGTAATTAACAAAATAACTGATAGCACAACCAAGTTTGTTGAGGCGCTCATTTTTACTGTTCAAACTTTTTCATTCCTGAATAATATTTATATAGTCCTAGCCGTAAAGACTGTCGTATTACACTTTCTTTAAATCATACTCACTTATACAAATTTTGTAATTTTTCATGAGAAACATTGGAAAATTCAACATCTTATTATATTATATAATTCTTATATAGTTCTGCTAGACTATAGAAATAAAACAATATTTAAACTACAACTTTAAACTTCATCACTAAAAGTAAAAATCTCTCTCGTCTCACTAATAACTATTAAAAAATATATTTTCTCATACTGGCGCATTTACATTGTAGATGTCTATGGGCTCCAGTAACCACTTAAGACCAGGTGGGCTGTGAGCTCGTCCACCCATCTAAGCAATAAAAAAAAAAAGTTCAGATTTAACAAAAATTACTTATGTGACTTTATAGCACCACTGTATGTGCGATATTTTGATTTTATGACAAAGAACAAAAAAAAGTCTAAATTTTTAGGCAAGTGACAAACCAAAAATAATCTAATTCTGTAAGTTAATATTAATTATGTTTTACAATTTCCTGTTGTTCTACGATTACTAGGTTCTATAATTTAATTTACAACTACTACATTTACTACTAATAATCTATATCGATTCTGGAATAATATTAATTTATTTATTTAAATAGAGGAAACATGCGTGGACGCATGTGACGGCCAACGTAGACGCAGACGACGCAGGCACTACTGCCCTGATCACGGTAAAACATGTGCTTTTTTTATGACATACACTTTACCTACCAAAAAAAAAAAATTTCCCGTGCTTTATAAGTTACTTCACTTTGTCTCGTATGTGAGTTCATTATCTATATATTAATACGTGAAGCAAAAACTTTGTATCGTTTTTTACGAAAATTGCGCAGACGGAAGAGTATGAAATTTTCCACACTTATAGAGAATATAGAGAAGAAGTGCACAATGCTATTTTTTTTTTTAAATAATGCATAAGAGATACATTAAATCAATAAAGAAAACATTACACACACCACATACCATGTATTTGACGCACACACGCATGCATACTATTTATTGTCAAACTTTTGTTCTTGACGTCTGTGATCAAATTGAGAATAGATTAAATATTGTTTGTCTTTAATATTACTGATCTATAGTGCAGTTATGGCGAATACTATGATTATATTATCGAAATATAATAGTGTTTGACAATAGAACCATAATAATGTTTAAACTTATAATTTCAATTATTTATAGTCAAATCTCGAGTACTGCGGGGCCACTAGTTAGAATAATTCACGTGCTTACGTATTCATTCCAAACATAAAAGGAAGACGACTGCGCACCAGAAGACGAGGGGGATTGACGACCTCCTGAAGGTTGCGGGTGTCAGGTAAAGAATGTACCTAATCTATGGCAATACAGTCAGACTACTTCCGCCAATAAAACAAGTCACACGCAGAGCTCGTCGTTTTTATTATAAAATATAATATATGTCACAACCCGGCCATCCTATGACTTCACATGGTGTCAGAAGCAAGGAATTTGGAAAATATTATATAAAAATACGAAAATATCCGAGAAATAATGTTTAAAATGGATAAAGTCGAAGACACACAACATGGCGGACAGGGACGCGCAAGTAAGTCACAATATAATGCTACATCAGTCACATATGGACTCCAACACTTAGATATGNTTGTTAAATATGTAAATAGTATTCTAGGTCATGATTTAAGAGTTTATGTAGTAAATAAATAAATTATTATTATTATAAACTGTCAGCACTCGCCATCAGCTGAACTGGCAGTGATAGGGTTGACTAGCGGCTATAGCAATTAATTAAAACGTAAATAATACTTGAAAACATTGTGTTTACTTGTATATGAGAAAATATAATACAGAATGACACCGCACATCAAAAGTAAAAGAACATAATACAAATTCAAATGCAGTGCATCATAGACAAGTATACGTGGACAGCATCACGACCTTTCAACACATAATAATATATACTTCGTCAGCAAATATTGGCAGTTAAAAATAGTAATTAAAAAATAGGCCAGGCTATTACACACTACACATTACCATGTTTTTAATTTTTTTTTAACAATCACGCCACGTTAACTTGTCCCGTTATAAGTTCGTAAAGTACTTGTGTTACAGGTACCAGATAACGGAAATAAATGTAAGATTTTTATTATACACATACATATATTTAATATACATCCATAACCCTGGAAAAGACATTTATATTTATCATACAAATATCTTCCCATGGCGGGATTCGTACCCGCGACCCCCTTATGTAGTGACCATGTCACTTACCACTACACCAGACGGCCGTTAAGGCCAGGCTGTCACACATAATATCATACAATTAATCGAACTAGAGACCCCTTCTCGGTGCCTTTTCGTTTTAGTCTGGACAGTCATTTCATTCATGGACTTTTGACTTTAATGAGACTAATAAGAGTCCCTAATAATGATTCCCTGTTGATTCCATAGATTACTACTATTACTTTTATACTAACGGCCTAATTTTGGATTACTTTATGACAACGTTCTGAATATGTGGATCATACCATGAAAGTATTTTGTAAAAGTTAATGTTTTTTTGCAGGTTGTTCTCAAGATTCTGGAAGTTGAAAATCTAACCAAGAACAAATTTTAGTGAACATATATTATCTAGTCACTGTAATTAGTATTTCGATCATACATACTACTATGTATACAAAAATTTGTACAATAATATTGTCTATTTATTATATGGAGTTTTAATTCTAAAATGCCCTACTGTAAATCGTAGAAGTTAATTTTCCGTACAATATACGCTTATGTTAAATGATAGTGTAGGCAGCGGCTTAGCTCTGTCGCTGGCATTGCTGACGTCAATGAGCGACGCTAAACACTAATATCTTGCACTGCACTAAAATTCGCATGTCAAATAATGACAAAGCATACGCTGCTTTTAACTTATGTAATAACTCATTTTCACTATGCTTAGCGAATAAATGATTTATTTCTTTCTTTCTTGCCATCCTGTACCACCTGATGGTAAGTGGTTAAGTTTAGCGGTTTAGTTTAGGTTAAAGGAAAATTGAAAAGAATTGAGAAAAATCTCGGGGTGATTTTCTACACATTAGTCTTTTTATTATCTATCAGAACGAAATAAATCACAAATGAATTCTACGTTAACTAATTAATAAAACAATTTAAATATAAACATTTTTAGGGGACACCTAGCACGCTAAAACAATGAAATATGATAGTCTTTATCATAATTTTGGGGATAGGGAATGGTACAAAGATAATTAATTGATAGGAGATTACAAACCCGGCTTTTGTCCGGGGAAGCCCAGAGAGAATCGGTCGGAAAGCAATCCGATTATCCTTCGTTTCTCGTTTAATCAAAGCTAATGCCTGATACAATTAACTAGTATAAGCTTTTTCAAATGATCACAAATGAATGAAACCGTTTGGAACATCAAATATGGGTATAATTCTAATCCAGAATTCAGATAAGTGCAACCATAATATACCTATGAAATTCTATTTAAGCTTTCCTACCTAAATTAAACTTAATATAAAATTAGAACCTTTTGAAGCGTTGTATGGCTGGCAATAAAATATAAACAAATGAATTTGTTTAAAAAAAAATGTATCCTTTTTTTCAGTTAAGTTATAATTCAATAATGTGTTTGATTGATTACTGTTTAATTTTCAGTACATTTGTATCGTTTTCATCAATAAGGGCACTACGAAAATACGAGTAATAAACGGCAACTTCATAGGTAAAGTCCTAATATAATATATGCAAGTAGATAGCTAGCTAGCTACCCTGACGGAGATTAATGTGTGACCGCTAAGGGCGCTAAGGCAAGTCGTGAATTGCTGTGGGCGGTGGTAGTTTGATCAGAAAGCACCGAATCTACTGCGATGGATTTCCTAAGATGACAATACTTTTTTTATTGCTTAGATGGGTGGACGAGCTTACAGCCCACCTGGTGTTAAGTGGTTACTGGAGCCCATGGACAGCTACGACGTAAATGTGCTACCCACCTTGAGATATCAGTTCTAAGATCTCAGTATAGTTGCAACGGCTGCCCCGCCCTTCAAGACTGGCTCTGGTTCAGTCTACTTTAACGAGGCTGAGCTACTTTGATTATTTTTATTTTTTATAAGTTTTACTTCTACCGTGTGTGCACACACACACACATTTTTATTTATTGCTTAGTTGGAAGGATGAGCTCACGACTCACCTAGGATTAAGTTACTGGAGCCCATAGACATCTACGACGTAAATGCCGCCACCCACCTTGAGAGATGAGTTATAATATCTCAGTTTTTACAGTACAATGAAAAACCTGAAAATTTTCAACAAACAATACTGATAACATAACTAACACTAGTTAATAGTTAATTATGAAGAAAAAAAAAGAAATTCAGTATGCACATAGACAAGAAATGGGATCGAGCTGTTTTGACTGCTTAAATATAAATTAAATGACATTGTTCTTTCACCGCAAAAGGCATCCGTAGACACGTGCTATTTGTGTATTAAGAAATAAATTGTATCGGCCACAGAACATTTGATACCGACGCAGTAATGTATCGCTCAATAAGATAGCACTAGATCTAGCTCATAGAACGACGGACTATTCAAATTCAGAGATGTGCTATAACAATTAGGTTTTATTGGATCAGATCAGTCACCACCTTACGGTGTTGCGTGGCTGTCAAAATCAATACATGTTACATCGTGAAAGGGAAATGATTAGTGATTACTAAATTATGACCTGAAAGTTTCAATTGCATTAGCAAGCAGTTATGTGACTATTCACAGACAGAACTCAAATAATCAACCTGTATAAAATAGCCCCGTACAAAATATTCATTGGTAATTTCACAAACGGAAACAGTATTTACGCTCGCTCGAGATACATTCAAAAAAAGGGATGTTATACTTATGGTTTATATTTAAGACTAGCTGATCCGGCAGATTTTGTAGTGCCCCAATCGATAAATAAAAGACCTAAACTTTTGTATAAAATAAACTTAAAACAAATAAAAGGAATCCGTCCGACGGGGGACATATCAAAGGAAAAACAAAATTGTTATTTTTATTTAATTCCGACCATTTTCATATTTATCTACCTTTTAAACCTTCTCTGGACTTCCACAAATAATTTAGACCAAAATTAGTCGAATCGGTTCAGCCGTTCTTGAGTTTTAGCGAGACTAACGAACAGCAATTCATTTTTATATACATATAAAGAGATTCATGGTAAATATTTTCGATGAGTAAATTTTTTTATATACTCTTCCCTGAATATAGACACTATTTTCCACGCAAAATAATGAATAGCCATCCAATTAAATGTCGCAACAGTTATTAAGTAAAGACATTATTTTACTCCCAGCAGAGAGATTAGTAATTCACGTAAACCGCACCGTACAAAATGCCATGTGGAATAATAGTGAGCACAAAAGTAATATCATACGGAGAAGTTTCTCCGAAAATTATTTCACCACAGACCTCAATCCGCAAAAGGGCTCTCTCTGTAATAATGAAGACCGCCAATTCTAGACTTAGAGGTAATAGATAGAGCGTGAGGGTGAAATTATATGAAGCCCCATTTTATGGAAACATCAGTAAAAGCCGTAAATTGTAATATAACCTCTAAGGTTTAATATATTTTGTAGGCATGTCATTAAAATTGCATTGACCCCGCTGGTAGAATAAGCACGCCTACCTCATACACATAACTTTTACCACATACTGGTGATAGGTACTCTACTACTACTGATACTGGTAGTAGTACCTCTTGCGAGTTCGCACGGGTAGGTACCACCACCCTACCTATTTCTGCCATGAAGCAGTAATGCGTGTCGGATTGAAGGTTGGGACAGCCGTTGTAACTATACTGAGACCTTAGAACTTATATCTCAATGTGGGTGTTGCATTTACGTTGTAGATGCCTGTGGGCTCTAGTAAGCAGTTAACATCAGGTGGACTGTGAGCTCTTCTATGCAATAAAAAAACATACATACATTCATCTCGTGTGGAATTTGTGAAATTTGATTGTTTTGAATTTCCTTGCAACTGTTTTGAACCGAAAAAAGTCCCCTCGATACAAAGATTTTTAACGGAAAACGAAAAAATACGGATCTCTTTGTTGTATCTACCTTCTATAAAGCTGCACGACACGAGAATCTTCTCATCGTGGCCGCCGGTAACTAGATTCCCGATCCTGCGGACAGAATGGAAAGCAGTCGACGTCGCCCAAAACACGTTATTTAGGATCCTCCCGATCTACTAACGGTGCTTTTAGGTACCTTAAGCACCAGTTATCGTTCTCGTCGAACCCCTCGCTTGCGACGAAGGGTTCGACGAGTAAATTAACCCTCAGACACAGCCCACTGAGTTTCTCGCCGGATCTTCTCAGTGTAGTAGATTCTGCGAAGCACGGCTCTTGCTAGGGTTCGTGTTAGCAACGTCGTCGGGTTTGAGCCCTGTGAGTTCACCTACTAGTTAAGGTTACGCTGATATAGCCTCTCAAGGCTCTCAGGTTAGGTAGGAAAAAAAAAGTGTGTGTGTCCGCTCCGACGCACGACTGGAGTTTACTGGATATAAAAAATTAAACGAAACAATACGAGAAATAGTTCTATATTACGACAACACGATACACTACAGATTATTAACAAATTAACGAGACACAAAACAAACGACTAACAAATATATGAAAATACAATAATGAGAGAAACGCGCGATCAGTACGAGGCTTTGTGGCGGACTGCCGGCGCAGCAGCCCGGCGTCACCTGCGATAACGCGGCCGCGCGTTGGCTCCTGATTGGCGCGCGCACGCATCACGCAATCAGGAGCCAATCAGGCGCATAACGCATTTCGTGTGACATGCTAGTACGATTTTGATTGGCGCGCGCACGCATCACGCAATCAGGAGCCAATCAGGCGCATAACGCATTTCGTGTGACATGCTAGTACGATTTTGGTCCCCATAATTTTCATACCCCGGGCCTATATATGTAAATCGATTCTAAAGGAGTAAACTCCAAAAAAAGTTGTATCTATTTTCTGTAATTCTGTGTCGCCTTCCGACACCGGTTGTTCGCAAGCGGCATATGGCAAGACCACAATAACGTTACTGAATGGCTCGCACTCTTCAAACGGAGTACTTATGCTAGTGTTATAGGTTGTTTTAGTGTTATTGGTCTGGAATAGCAGCTTCATTGTTACACGTAAATGGCTTAAATGTTTTTCATGTAAAAAATATCGTTAAAAATGAACAATCCTCTTACTTATGGTTATTTATATTTACCACCATTATTTATGTTATGGCAACGGTGCATATTGGAATAATAATTATATCCCCATATGGTTGAAGTCAAAACTTTTCAGCCACTCATGAATCCACAACAAATCTATTAATGTTGAATAACAAATGGTTTTACATAGCTTTTTTTATTGCTTAGATGGGTGAACGAGCTCACAGCCCACTTGGTGTTAAGAGGTTACTGGAGCCCATAGACATCTACAACGTAAATGCGTCACCCACCTTGAGATATAAGTTCTAAGGTCTCATGTATAGTTACAACGGCTTCCCCACCCTTCAAACCGAAACGCATTACTGCTTCACGACAAAAACAGGCGGGGTGGTAGTACCTACCCGCGTGGACTCAGAAGAGGTCCT